GAGGGGCTGAGGGCCATTTTCAGGCTGGCGGGTGACTGAAGCTCCCAACTGCTCCTTTTTTTCTTTTTCTTTTTTTTCTATTCTGGGCCAGCTTTAGCTCTGAGGCCTCGCTGCTGAAAGCAGGTTTCTGGCCTTTACCTTCTGTATTTGATACAATGTTGCGGTCCGGCTGGCTGAAGCCCGGCTGACTGAAAGCCGGTTTCTGGGGTTTTGTTTAGCTTCTATATTTGCAACATAGTTGCTTAGAGTTGCAGCTGAGAGGCCGGCAAGTCAGGCGGGGAACGTTGGAGTCTGCCATCACTGGAGCAAGCAAGCCTCCCTGTTCGCTTCAGTGCATGGCTGCCGGCCGCCATCTTGGCTGACAGTTAATTTGCATATTGCCCTGATTAGCCAATGGGAAGGGTAGCGGTCGTACGCTAATTAGCATGTTTCTCTTTTATTAGTGTAGATGGCTATTATGCAAAGTATTCCTTTGGGAGTTCGATCGCTTGCTATGATGTGCTCTGACCACCAGGGGGCAGCACAGAATGAAGGAAGCCCCCGGCCAGCAGTTGGGAGGCCCCAATCGGCCCTGATCACTGGCCAGGCCTAGGGACCCTACCCATGCATGAATTTTGTGCACTGGGCCTCTAGTACTTTCATAGTGATACTTGATGAGCTAGGTTTTTATTTAATAATCTTGATAAAAAAATACTTTTGTATATAGTAAAAAAATAATGCTATCGTTGCTTTTTTCCATAGACATTAAAACCAGTGTTTAAGAATTTTATGTTTTAATATTTTAGACTTATAAAGAGCAAATAAAAGACTTGTTTTTTAGTATTGTTTGACCAATTTTAATCAAATTTCTAATTTTAACTAGATTGACAGGGCATCTTTTGGTTTATTTAACTAAATATAGCTTTATTTTAAATTGTTCAGATGTTACATGAATAAAAATGAATGTTATTAAAAAGAGTCTTTTTAGTTCAAGCATGTTCCAATTCTTAACATTTTATTTAATCTTTAAGCTATATTTCTCCTTCCTTCTATTCCCCCTATTGGGTACTTTTGGTCTTTCAAAAATTTTTCTTTCCCAGTATTAAAACTTTGTTACTCTATAGAAAAATATTGTTTAAAAAATCTATTAGCAAAATCCCTGTAGATCAGCGGTTCTCAACCTGTGGGTCGCGACCCCTTTGGGGGTCGAACGACCCTTTCACAGGGGTCGCCTAAGATCATCGGAAAACACATATATAATTCAATATTGTTTTTGTGCTTAATCACTGTGCTTTAATTATGTTCAATTTGTAACGATGAAATTGGGGGTCACCACAACATGAGGAACTGTATTAAAGGGTCGCAGCATTAGGAAGGTTGAGAACCACTGCTGTAGATGATAGCCGGATACATTTTTTCCCTTTTTAAAAATTTTTCTTATTGTACTTTGTTAAACTGGTCTTACACATGAACTTTCTCAGAATCAGGCAGTTCCTGGTTCCTGTGGGACTTCCTGTTTTCTCAAATTAAAATAAAAAAGCACCTCAGAAAGGAAACCTGGTGAGTGTGAAGTACTTTGTAGGCTCAGTCTTAGTTGTGACCTGGATTATAGAGATCCAGGTATCAAAGCTTTGACTATTTTTAGATGTGATTTAAAAATAGATGATAAGGAGGATTTCCTAAATAATAATCATGAGAGATGCTACATAATTCAGCCATAAACTTGTTGGTATCTTTCCTGGAGGATGGGTGAGTATAGGGAGGTTGGATAGAAAGTGGTTAATTCTTTCCTTATAATATTTATCGGAAATGCAAAATTGTTTAGTACTGAGACATAATTCTTAAGTACTTTGATCTGTATATTTTTTTCTTGCGATTTTCCAAAATATTAGCAAGGATTAGGAAGGTTTTTTTTAAATTATTAGAAGTCAGAATTCTAAATTATTCATTTTTAAAGCATGTTGTAGACTGCACAAGTAGTAAGTGCTTTTAGAAGTGTTTTGAAGAGAAACCAAGTTAAAGAGGAAACAAATGATTCAGTCATTAACAGTAACAATAGGTAACATGTATTAAGTGTGTGAGACTATGCCAAGCATTTTTTATGATTTATCTCATTTAATCCTCACAACAACAATCTAAGGTAGGTGCCATTGTTACATCCTTTCTTTATAGAAGAGGAAACTACAACTTAGAGTGGCAAAGTAGATGTTAGTTCAAGGTCACGTTGCTAGTAAGTGATGGAGCTAGGACTTGAACCCAGCAGCTCTGACATCAGAGCACCTGCTATTACTATGGAGAACACCACAAATTCAGAGTGAGAATGGTAAGTATAATAAGTCTGAAAAAATGCTTTTCCCAACTGTTATTATCATCAGTTTGTTTTACATTTTATTTGCATGTTTATATTCAGTTTTAGCAAAAAACATGCTGGCATTTCAGAGGACTTATTTAGGGGGATTCTAATTTTCATTTTTAAATTATGCTAATAGTTCTCTCTCTTTTTTTTCCTTGATAGTAAAAAACCCCTTTGATGAAACATTTGGAACAATACAAGTAAGTAAAAGATGATAATACTGATATTTTGTCTCATGTTTTATATGGTAAAAGTATTACCAACTAAAAATAATAATTTTTAAAAGGTTCTTGCTTTGGCTGGTGTGCTCAGTGGTTAAAGTGTTGGCCCATGCACCAAAGGGTCTTAGGTTCAATTCCTGGTTAAGGGCACATACCTGGGTTGCAGGGTCGATCCCTGACCTCTGTTGGGGCCCATGCAGGAGGCAACCAATCAATGTGTCTCTCTCACATTGATGTTTCTCTTTCTCTCTCTCTCTCTCTCT